AGCTGAGCTGTTAGCTTCTGGAGATTCTCCTGTCTCTGCCTCCCATAGGAGAATTGGAATTGCGAATACATACTTCTATGTCAGGTTTTGTACAGGTTCTGGGGATTTGAATTAAGGTCTTTATGTTTGGATAGGTAAAGCTTTACTCATTGAGTTATCTCCCCAGCTCTATTCAGTTTTTATTTTAAATTTAGTGAATAATGAGTGTTAAAATTTTCAAATGTCTTCACTTGATGTTAGCCAAAAAACCAAGAAGTACCACATGCTATGAGTTATAAGGTCAATTCTGTTGTGGTAAGAAGACATGGGCCCTTAGGATAATTTACAATGGAAATTTAGGCTGTTACTAAATGAAATGGCAGTGGTCCGAGTTAATCATTATCTGTTTGTCTGTCCATCACCAGCCTATCTACCATCAATCATCTATCAATCAATCTATCATCTATCATCTGCCTATCTATCATTACCTATCTATCTCTCTATTGTCTATCATTGATCTACCCATGGTCTTGCTATTTAACACAAATAGGGCTGCTGCCTGACTTCCTAGTCCCCTCCCTGGGATTACAGGCCTGTATTAATACACCCAGTTAACAGATATTGAGGTGCCCTTCAGTCTAATTAATTAGTTACAGGGTTTTTCTGTTAGAGCTGACACAGAAAACAGTGGATAGTTGATCACACAGGACATTTCTTTGGCTAAGGTTATAGTTGACACCAGCCAAATGATTTTGGTGTCTCTTATATCTTTATCACTTTCATCATCATTATTAAATAAACCATATACATTGATAATGTATTATTCTAAGTCTTCATTTTGATTAATACAGCTACAGATATGTTATATTAGAAGAAAAATGAGAGGGGAACCAAATTAATTCAGTGAAACAAGTATAAATAAACAAAACTGTATGAGAAACAAAATCAAATGGAAAACAGGTTTTGTGATGTTGAGTTTGAGTTACATATTACATTAAAAAATTAATATTTATGTCAGACTTTTTAAATGTCAAAATGTGAAGTGTAAAATTTTGGCTATTTAAAAATTTTCTTCTTTGGTTTCACAGGGAGCTACTTTATGCTGTCCTTGAATCTTCTCTGTATTTTTGTATTTTAGAGAAAGAAGCTAGAAGTTGTTCCTATGTGCTATGGATATTAAAACTCAGAGTTGCTTTTTCCTCTTAGCATTCTGACCATCTTCCTTCTTTTCATACTCTGGCCATATTGGCTGCCTTGTTCTGTTTGGGAAGACAATTGTCTCTGAACCTCTGCTTGTAAACTGTCTCCTCACTGGGGTCTGTAGAGCTTAAGATACTGATCATGTCTGTTGGGAACACACCCCAATGCAGCTCTTTTCCTTGTGGAATAGATTTAGCAATCTGACTTTTTCTACCCTTTCAATTGAACTGCAGAAGTTGAGAATAAAAAGTGGCCCCCACCCCCACCCCACTTCTCTCCTGGGCAGGTCTTTTGTTCTTAACTCAGGAGGAAGAGACTGTTTTGGTTATTCCCTTTGTGAAATTACATGGTTGAAACTTTTGTGCTTTTGTGTAGTTAATGACAGTATAAAAGTCTTAAATGAAATTACTTTTACTATTGTTAATGACAGTTTAAAAGTCTGAGATGAATTTACTTTTAAGGTGCTAGATCTAAAAAGAAAAAAAATACAATAAAGCCAATTGTAATTATTCCAAGAGAGTTACTTTTAAATTACTTTTTAAACCAAACAAGACCTTCTGCTAAACAGAGAAAGTATTTCTTTAATAGCATCTCTAATAAACACATTTTTAGAAGTTCAGACACAAGAGCCTGCAGCTTCAAAAGCTCAGCCTGCATGCCATTCTCATGATCAGATCCTTTCTTCAGAAACAGTCCCAAGCTCCAAGTGCTATGAATGTATTAGTTTATGTGTTATTTGCACCTATAAAACTCAGCATTTTCCTCCTGGAGACAAGTCCATCCTCCTATCATGTGCTTTCCATATCAGCAGGCAACTGCTCTCTGAGACTGCTGTGAGTCCTGTACATTCAAAATCTTCATCAATGTAAAGAGCTGGTGTCTTTAGAAAGAGCTAGTCAGAGTGATTAGCTTTAAAGACATTAGATGTATGTGTGGAAATTAGGTGGGAATTTTCAAACTTACTTGCTTAAACATGGCATGTGTTCTATGGAGATATGTGGAAACTATTCAGGTGTCTTCAAATTATATCACTTTTGTAAGATGCACAAGAAATTTAATGAGATTTGAGGGCCTGATTGCAGCTTTCAAATTTCATTTTTATATGTTTATTTTAAGTTCTGTGTATATTATCATAAATCTTATAAACTAGGTGTACAGAAACATAATTTTTCAATGAGAAAAATACTAAGATTCTGTCCTTTAAAATCTGGAACTTATGGCTTGATTTTTATAAATGGATGTTTTACTTGCATATAATCCAAAAGTTATGAAATCTATCTCCAGCTTGCTTAATGTTGTCATTTTGATATGTTCACAGGGTTGTGCAGCCACTATCACTAATTTTATAACATTTTCATTATCACCCTAAAGAAACTTTGTACCTGCTAGTATTTACTCACATTGTCCTCTTATCCACCATTCATAAACAAACTACATTGCATTTTCTACCTTCATAGACATGTTTGCTCTGGACATGTCATATAAGTAGAATCTTACAACATGTGTTTATTTGGCTCTCCTCTCACTTAGGATAATGTTTCCAAAGTTTATCTTTGTTGCAACATGTACTAAAATATCATTTTAAATGGTTGGATAATATTCCACAGTGTGGATATACCACATATTATTTACCCATGGATACTAGGTTTATCTACCAAGTGCTTTTTGACTGTTAAGAATAATGATTCTATATGCTGTGTAAAAAATCTATATTCAATACAAAGTAAAGTCCAGATTATGGTTAAAACCTAAATGAAAAACAAAGAAGAATGCTGCTGTGAAAATTTTGAGTGGGTGGGTTTTTTGGTTCACTTGTCACTGAGTCATACCGTGTATTAGTTTTTTTCTTGGCACTGGGACAAAATAACTGACCAAAGCGACTTCAGGGAAGGCATGCTGGAACTCATGGAGACAAGAGCTTATAGGAGGAAGTTCCTCATTTTCCTGCCAGATCAGGAAGCAGTGAGATTGGACTTGAACCTCACGTAGGTATCACCTCCAAGGACTATCCACAGTGGTCCACTCAGCTGTATAACCACAGTCCCAAAGTTTCCACAACCTCCTGCAATAGCACCACGAGCTAGGGCCCAAGTTTTCAAACCCATGGGCAGCTGTGGGTACTTCACAGATGCTAAGTACATGCCTAGTTTTTGAGGAACTATAAATTGTTTCCCAAAATAGGTTGCCATTTACCTCCCTGCCACAGCAGTGAGTATCCCATCTTCCCCACATCCTCCTCAGGACTAGTTTCCAACTGTCTTTTCCCTCAAAGCTGCTGCTTTAGTGAGTGTAAGGTAGCATTACCTCATGGTTATGAATTGCATTCCCCTGTTGACAAAGGATGTATACTAATTTTTTTCATATTCTTACTACTCATTTTTCTACCTTCTTTGGAAAAGTATCTATTGAGTCATGCTCTTCCATTGGATTTTGTTTTCATTGTGGAGTTGTTGGAACATTGTATATGTGTTAAACACTGTTTGATTTTAGCATCTTGATCATACTAATTTTCTGAGTTATTCAGAGTTTCAGTCACCATTACAGATACCTGAGATGGATTTTAAAAAGAAAATAATTATTTTGACTCCTATTTTATGGTTTTAGTCCAAGATTGGCTGTAACCATTGCTTTATGGTGAAGGTATATCAGATTTATTATGATGGAGGATGGAGGAGCACATGACAAAGGCTTTCAGTATGTGGCTGCTATGACACAGAGAATGTCTGTGGTAAAGGGCTTACTTCTCTTTAATTTTATATGGGCCCCAGCTTTTGTATGATACTGTTTGCATTCAGATCTCACACTCAGAAGTGCACATTAACCTTTTAGATATCTCTTCAAGCAAGTTGAAAACTTACTATCATAGAGACTGAGGATATGTCTCAGGGGGTCAAAGTGCTTGCCCTGAGAGTATAAGGATCAGAGTTTGGATTCCCAGGACCCATATAAAATGCAGCCTGCCTGCCTGTTATCCTAGAACCTCAGGAGGCAGAAACAGGTGACCTTCAGGTGTATGCTAGCTAGATTAGATGAATCATCAAGTTTTGCATTCTTCATCAAGAGATCTTGACTCAGTAAAAAGGCAAAGAACACTAGATAAAAATACCTAATATCAACTTCTGACCTCCATATGTACATATACATGCACATGTACAGTTGTATACCCACATCCATGTGTGCCCACACATATGTGGATCCACACATGCAGACTTGAATACATACAGATGAACCATCACAGATAATTGTCTCCTTTAGTGCCATAAATATAATACATTTCCTTTTCTTCTAACAAAATAATCAGTATTTCTTCATAGTTACACAAATATTTTTTGGTTGTTTCACTGTTTTTTCTATGTAACTTTCTACAGCATCACATGGTTGTATATTCTGTTCTTTGTGTTTGTATGGATAGAGGTAGCCGTGCTAGGCAGTAACTATAGAGCTGAGAGAATCTGAACCGGTTTCTTGTCACAAATGTGAATCTTGTCTATAACCTTGATGGGTTTCAGAGGCTCCCTTATCTTCTCTACATGTGTTCATTTTTTTTGGTTACTCTTGGTTATGACAGTATTGTCACTATCCTGAAGAGATTATGCCAATTTGCCACATTAGAATTATCCAAACTACAAAAAAATGTAACCTTTTAAATGGCATAATTATTAAACTTAGATTTGTGCAGTTTTATAGAAATTAAAAGTTATATTCATATAAAAAGCAAATGTTTCTACTCCACACATGCATCAGTAAAAGTCTGGGTCAATATATAAGGTCTTTGGATAAGTTTTCACTTTTAAGGTAATCTGGTGGTGCATTTTCTCAAGTCCTCACACAGGTATTCAAGAATATCAAGATGGTGTGCCCAAGATTCCAACAGCCTGTATCACAGTGGAAGATGCAGAAATGATTTCACGAATGGCTTCTCGTGGGAACAAAATTGTCATTCACCTGGAGATGGGAGCAAAGACCTACCCAGATACTGATTCCTTCAACACTGTAGCGGAGATCACTGGCAGCAAGTATCCGGAGCAAGTGAGTGAAGAAGGAGGACATGGTTTCTAGCAGAGGACATTCTGGTCAGGCGGCCATTTTTAGAATAGTTAGAAGGAGAGAACATGAATCTGTTGAGATGGTCCTCATAGACTCATTAAAACCTGAAGCTTCATATATTTTCCCCCATTAAAATGTTCACCACACTAATGAATGGAAGACAAATTCAAGGGCAGAATAGGACCCATAGTGTGGAAAGTCAATCTGAACAGAAGAGAAATTTGTGTGTATCCCTTTAGAGCTAGAAATCATGCCAACAATTGACACTCTGTTAATTTTATGAATATTTTAAAAATCATTTCAAAGTACAATAATATAGAATCTAGTTTCTTCATTATGAATCAAGGAAACTAACTTATGTAGAAACCCACTTGTCTAGGTCTGCACACAGCCACAATGTGTCTGGCAAAGGACTCAAGCTCAGAGAAATACAAATTCTAACCAAGCTTTAGTCTACAGTTCAAGTGAGGATTCCAGATTTCATAAGTATATTTCAAATGGTTTTAGAAGCAGATCTATGCTAGTCAAATGCTAAATAATGGGCTATTTAGTTTCTGGGCTTTAGAGAACTTACCTCCAAAGAAACTGGCATGTCACTAATCTTTATAAAGACATGTGTCGCTAGCAGAATTAGTGTGTGAATTAGATGAGATGGTATCCACCAGATAGCTTGCATGTGTTGGGCTCATCATAGGCACCCACTGAATTTACATTTACTTAATATAATACAAAATACGCAAAAATGTTTTATAGACATTCCAGTATAAATCTTTATTAGTAGCAACTATAATTCTGAAAATGCAACTTAAGTTATTCAGAATTTCAGATTTGTATTCTTGTGACAGTGTCAGTGAGGTGAAGGAAAAGGTTATGCCTGATGATAGAGAAGTGAGATTCCTGCACAGGTCTGAATGTTGCATGTCTGTGCTCCAGTAAAGACTCCTTTAAGGTTAGGACCCTTTCTTTGCTTCTCAGATTCCAGAACCTGGGCATCATTATTTATGATGTAATGACAAAAACAAGATCTCACCACCACAGAGTCAATTAGCCATAGAGAAACTGACTTTAAATGTTGAGAAAAGAGTCCTTTTGGGAAACTGGTAAAGCAGAATAGCCAAGAGCCTGTATCCCAACTAAGAGTCATCAAGTCCCTTACAGTCTAATCTTCACTGGGGTTGTATTAGCAGCAGAATCTGAATCTCTGGGTCGCAGAGGGAGTGCATTATGGGATTCTTCTGTAGCAGCCATGGTATGACAGGCTCTGAGGCAGTGAGTTCTTGGGAGCCAGAAGCTGAGATAGATCTGGCTCTGGCAGCTCCCAGGAGGTCATGGGTATTTTCTAGCTGGGACAGCCGGAGCCTCTTTCTGTAAGTAATAAATTATCAATTTAAGTGTGTAGTTGAGTGAACGTTGAAAACATATGCAGTAACCATTACTCCAACCATGACAGAGACTGTTTTTATCACACAAAGTCTCCCTTGAGCCTTCTTTGTAGTCTATTTCTTTATTTCTCTTCCTAATGACAAGAACTGCTCTTCTACTTTCAATCATGAGTCGTGGAGGAAGCTCTGAGAGGTGAAGTCCTGAGTGGATGTTGTTAACATTGCCATCAGGGACCGTAGCCTCAGACCCATGGGCGTGGCAAAACCCTTTCTGTAACCAAAGGTGGAACTTTCTGTCCCATCAGCCCAGTTAGACCTGCTGGTCACTTCCCAAATTACTACAGAGAGGCTTATATTAATTGTAAATGTTTGGCCAATGGCTTATTACTAACTAGCTCTTACATTTAAATTAACCCATTTCTATTAATCTATGCATCATCACAATGCCCATGGCTTACCAGTCCTTTGGCATCCTGCACCTTGGGCAGTTGGCTTGCATCTGCCCTAACTCTGCTCTTCTTCATCTCCATCTTTAGTTTGATTGTACTGCCTAATTTTATTCTGCCTCACCATTGGCAAAACAACTTTATTATCAACCAATGAGAGCAACACATATTTACAGCATACAGAAAGACAATCCCTCAGTATTTTCCCTTTTCTGTCTAATCAAAAAGGAAGGTTTTAACTTCAGCATAGTAAAATTACATATAACAAAACAGTTACCAAGCAAGAATTACAGTTACAGTATCTAGTATATTTGTGTTTGACAAAAATCAGAGAAAAACTCAATCATCTTATCTTGGTGAGTTTAAAGTTTTATATCTAGTTTACATTTTATCATAACTAATGGAAATTATAATTATAACTATCTAGTCTTCAACTCTGTCAAAGACTCCAGAAGGATGTAATGTTGCCTAATGACAGTGACATCAGGCTGTCTGGATAGTCACCCAAAGTTTTTCTGTAAAATGGTGGGACATCCAACTTTGGCTTATAGACCTAGAATATTTGACAGACTTTTTTTCAGAAGCAGGTAATTTTGAAGGACTGTCATACCCTGTCTTGGCAAAGTTCAGCAGTCGCTTTTCTTCATGTCCTGCTTGTCCAGATTGGACCACATACTTACTGTTAGCAGTCAAGGCAAGGGCAGTTTCTTGCCCAATAGGCCAATTTTGCCAAAAAGAAAACAAACTCCTTATGGAGTGTCTTCAGTGTCCATCATCCTCTTAAGAGTAAATTGGTACTGCCAGGAGCAGACATGCTTCACTGTCATGAAAAGCCTTATATTATTAAAACATTTTAAATGCCATATTCTGTCGGTCTTTGAAGTATTTGAAGATTACTTATCTAATTGAAATATATCTTTATATACCTAGAAAACCTAACTAACATAAGTTTGACTATTATAGATGACTAACTATTAATCTGTATTTTTAATTATACATTACATTTTTAAATGAGCTACATAAACACAATGCCTTAAACAAGAGTAGAAACATACATACAGTATAACAAAATTGACTTTAAATTTGTATCAATAAACCAAAATCCATACCAATGTAAAATATTTTGAGGTTAACAGTTGTTTTTTGGATTAAAGTAGATTCAATAATCTACCCTTTTTTCTATCACAATAATCTATTCTTTTTCCCATCATTTCCATGTCATATTCACCTTTCTTCTTTAGAAAGAGATTGACTATAATCAATAACAATTTATAACCAATCCCCTAAACAAAGACAAGCATCCATAATCTATTTTTTGGGACCATGAACATAGTTCTCTAGACTACTTCCTGTTGGTTGGTGGGCACTGGTAATCTTTTTGGGACCCTGAGAAAATTTAAGATAATTGTTAAGTCTTGGCTGTAGTATTTTGTGAGGCTGGATCATCTTAGCCAGTGGCCTTGAAGCTATTCTGGATGCTGGATCATTTAGGCCGTTGCTTTCATTGGTGCCTGGTCCCCTTGCTCTGAAAATATATAAACTTTTAAAGGTAACATACATCTCTGTATTAATACAAATATAAACTGTGCATTGTACATAAGACAGTAAATGATAATTTTTTTTATATCTGAGCAGGGAAAATATACATTATGTGTCTTGAAGTTACTTTAGGTTTATTTTCCCATGTCTGTAGTCAGGATTTCAGGGAGTCTTCCTCTTTAACCCAGAATGAATCCATAGCCTTTCATTTCCTGTGGAAATAAAAACATAACCTCTACTCCAAAGTGACATACTTTTTGACTTAAATTTTGGAATCAAGATATTTTTAAAATATATAGGTTGAGGTTGGTTTAATTCAGGACTTTTTTTTTTTTGGTTTTTCAAGACAGAGTTTCTCCATGTAGCTTTGGTGCCTGTCCTGGATCTCACTCTGAAAACCAGGTGACTTTGAACTCATAAAGATCTGCCTGACTCTGCCTCCCAAGTGCTGAGATTAAAGGCGTGCACCATTAAAGCCCGGCACTAATTCAGTACCTTTTATAATAAAATGTCTCTCAGCAGTTAGTTCATTAACAGTCAAAATATCCAAAGCAAACACAACATACATAATCCAGACTCTCTGTGTATTTTCCATCCTCACATGGCTCATTTCCTTTATATTACTTTACTCCCTTTTCTAAGGACTTTTATTTTATTATTTTAAAACTGTATTTTTAATCTAAGATTTTATATACTTTTTCTCTTCTCTCTTTCAAGGCTATGCACATCTTTTAAACATACTGTGACTTGTTTTGTCTGAATCTGTCCTTATTGTGTATCTCTAACCCCTTTTATCTGTATGACCAGAAACCTTAAATCCACCATGCGGCATGCTTGTACTGTGGCTTGTATAAGACTGCGGGAACCCATCATACTGTAGCTCAAGCCCACATGCCACAGCAACCCTGTACCATGGCCTGTATGAAAGACACAACTAGGAAGCTGTTATTGGCTCCATTTTTGTGTTCTAGAACCCTTTTTTTTAAAAGCTTTCTCAAGCTCTATGTGGATGTATGTGCAGCACATTGGAACACCATATGTAACCAGACACAGATCTTTCTGTCCCATATTCCTGATTATACCTGCTGGTCACTTCCCAAATTACTACACAGATACTTATATTAATTATAAATGTTTGGCCAATGGTGCAGGCTTATTACTAACTAGCTCTTACATTTAAATTAACCCATTTCTATTAATCTATGCATTGCCACATGGCCCATGGCTTACTGGTCCTTTGGCATACTGCTCCTTGGGCAGCTGACTTGCATCTGCCCCAACTCTGCCCTTCTTCATCTCTATCTTTAGTTTGATTGTACTGCCTAACCTCATTCTGCATCACCATTGCCCAAACAGCTTTATTATCAACCAATGAGAGCAACACATATCCACAGCATATAGAAAGGCAATCCCTCAGCACCCATCCCTACCTGGTGATGCTCAGGAGAATGACAAAGCCTTCCTCTGATCCATGTGAAGATGTTAATAGCATGTGCAGAAAATGTCCATGATATCTGTCTTCTCTTAGATATTTATGACCTGCTTCCTTACAGAGACTGCTCCTACTAAGATTAGCTAAACTTGTCTCCTTGCTCCAGCTGTTAGCCATAAACCC